AGAACATTCTGGAAGGAGTCATACCAAATGATCACAGTAGTGGCCTCTGGGCATTGGGGTTAAACAAGTGTTTACTGGGGCTGGGGTTGTTGTGGCTTAGCGGTAGAACGCTCACCTAGCATGTGCGAGGCCCTGGGTTCGATCCTCAGCACCACATAATAATAAATAAATAAAATGAAGGTCCATTAATAACTAAAAATACCAAAAAAAAAAAAAAGTGCTGGCAATGTGGCTCAGTGGTTAAGTAACCTTAGGTTCAATTCCTGGTACCAAAAAAAAAAAAAGAAATAGAAGGGAAGAAGAGACATTTTTACTTATTGGTTGACAGACTGCTGCTGCAAGGCTTGCTTTAGACCTGCCTTGTAGGACATATTGATGGCAAGAAATCAATATGTCAATATGTAGGAAACTCCAAGGGCTCTCCTGCAAATATTGCCTGCTTGCAGATGGACAGGCTCTCACATGGGGGCAATCAGGGCTACATCTCCTCTGAGCCCACAGCCCTAACTCAGGCAAAGCTGGGCCTGACCCACCTATGGAGCAGATTTCAGGGTGGGGCTGTTCCTGCTCTTAGCACACCCCACTACTGCTACTGCTTCTGCCTCCTCCTCCTTCCTCTTCCCTCTCTTCCCCCTCCTTCCCCCCCCCTTTTTTTTTTCAGTCCTAGGGATTGAACTCAGGGTGCTCTACCACTGAGGCACATCCCTAACACTTTTTATTTTTATATTTTGAGACAGAGTCCTGTTAAGCTGCTGAGGCTGGCCTCAAATTTGTGAACCTCCTGCCTCAGCCTCTGGTTACAGGTGTGCACCACTGTGCCCAGCCCCATTGCTTCTTGAGGGGGTTCATGCTGCTATTTCTCTCTTGCATTCCTCTGTGTAGATAGCTGCATACCTTTAACTCTGCACAGAAGATGGGGTTTCAGGCAGTGGATGGCACATAGACCATGTATTCTAGGTGTGGTCACCAGTGTAAGTGACCTTTTGTAGTAACAGTGTGCTCCACAAAGGGGCAGGGTAGGAGGTGGCTTCTCCCCAGTGAGATGTCCCAGTGGGGGACTTTGCTGCTCACCCCAGTCTCCTTCTTGCAGGTACAGCAAGAGCGGGATGAGCTCTACCGTAAGTTCACTGCAGCCATCCAGGAGGTGCAGCAGAAGACAGGCTTCAAGAACCTGGTGCTGGAACGCAAGCTGCAGACACTGAATGCTGCCATGGAGAAGAGGGAGGTGCAGTTCAACGAGGTGCTGGCGGCCTCCAACCTGGACCCTGCAGCATTGACACTCGTGTCCCGCAAACTGGAGGTAGGCCCAGGGGCTCCGGGGGCAGGGCTGGTGGCTGCCCCAACTCTTACCTACAGTGGGCAGCCTAGTCTCCTGTGGTGGGACCCTTTGGTCCTGCGCTGTGCCTCCTGAGCCAGAGGTGACCTCAGTTACCCACGGGGGGCGGGTTTCCTGCAGGCGTCTGTGCCTCAGGCCTGCCTGGGCCTGCAGTTTCCTTTGAGGGGTTTTGCTTGTGTTGCTGTTGGGTCTTGCTTGACCCTCCTTAACCTCATGGCACCTCATAACTTCTGAGCCTTGCCATTCCAGTTCTCCTGTGGCTCATCATGAGGCACCAAGTAGAACTGAGGATATTCTAGAAACAGAAAAGCTGCTCTGGGAATCTGCAGGACTGAGTCCCTCAGTCACTTGCCAGTGGACTCAGAGACAGGCCTGGGGACAGCCTGGGAGTGGAAAAGCCATGCTCAGCACCCATGCACCTGTACTATAGGCAGCTCTTCTACGATGGCTCATCACAGTTTACAACTCTAGGCCCAAAGAATTAGCTTTGTGTCTAGGCACCTCATCTCTATTTATGACACTCCATCCTGGTTTGCTTCACTGCCCGTCTCCCCTCCCATCCTGACCTGAGGCTGCATGCAGTACTAGGCCTCACACTGAGCACCCCAAGCTGCCTAGGGAGCAGGAGACCCAGAACACCCAGGGTTTGTTGGAAACCCAGGACTAAGGGCAACTGCAGGCTGTCAGCTGTCAGTGTAGGGTTGGTCAGGAACCACAACTCTGTTCTGGGCACAGAGGCCTGATCACAGAGAGCCCCCTCTGCCTCAGCTGGGGAATGCATGGCCAGAGATAGCAGATAATGTCAGTGCAAGACAAGGAACAGAGATCCAAGAGCTACTAAAGACCAGCTCCACAGGACTTATCCTGATTTAGGAGGGGCTGGGAGGGTCCAAGGTGACAGGCTATGTTTCTGGACAGGGAGACCGAGTGTTTACAGGAGAGCAGCAGGGCCCTGGTTGTACCTGTGGGACCAGGTTACTGGGATAGGCCGGATCTTGGGCCTGGGGTGGTGTAGCAACACAGGAGGGGAGGGGCCATGTTGGGACTGGCAATAACCTGTCTCTGGGATTGGAGGCTCACCTGCAACATGGGTAGGTGTGAGAAGTGAAGTCCTGCTGTTTGGACACAGAAGAGGGACAGTTCCCCCTCTGTGGATGGGTAAGCCTGAGATGGCAATGATAAGAATCAGTCCTGTCCACCACAATCAGGTGAATACTAACTAACTGTGGGTTACAGTTGGTACTAAATGTGGGTTAGCTCTTGTTTTCCCTAGTTATTCTTATCCCAATTTATAGGCAAGTAGCCTGGCAGTGAAGTGACAGCAGTACCCATAGGATCTCTCTCAAGAGAGGTGCGAGAGGGTTTGGGGAGCTTCTCGGAGCCAGGCTAGGTCCAACTCAGTCTGGCACCTTACAGCACTCCTCAGGTGGGAGCATCCCAAGGGGCTTGGGCCCTGCAGATCTGGGCCCATTACTTTTGGTTCAACACTTAAGGTTTTAAAAGTTACACAGACTACTCTTTCTGTTTAAAAATTGGATAATAATGCCACATGATTCAAGAAGTTTAAAAGTGTAAGTTTTTTTGTTTAGTGCCAGGCTGTTGCAAAGTGAGATCTTTGCTGTCCCTGGTAACCCATGTTTATTACTTACCATCAAGACAGTTTCTCCATGGGGTGTGGATGGCACCGGGACATACTCCGGTTCTCCCCTTCCTCCCATTCTGTTTTCTCTCAACCCTTGGGGACCTTCTCCTGCCGATATACCCTTGTCTAGATGCATACATATATTGAGCCAGRACTTTATTCCCTGAGCTTCTTGGGACCCCCAAGGGAGCTCCTAGCCCATCATCCACCTCCTTCACCTTGGCCAAAAGACCTGTCCCAAATTCACCTCTGCCTCTGTCCTCAGGATGTTCTGGAATCAAAGAATAGTACCATCAAGGACCTGCAGTATGAGCTGGCCYGAGTCTGTAAGGTATGCACCTGCCTCCCTGCCTCCTCCCTTGGCTATGRCCTGGCATCTGGCTTCAGCCTGTAGACAGTGTGACTGCTGACCATCTCTGAGGACTCATCCATTTCCCATTCACATGTCATTTGATGAGGCTGGTGGACCATCCCYATGTGAGGGGCAGACACGGCATGAGGCCATCTGTACCTGCCTAGGACTGAGCTGACTGCTCTGTCTGCAGAGGAATTCACCAAGAGCAGCTGCCCCACCAGTGCAACTCAGTTACACCCTTAACTCCGAGGGGTGGATATCACTTCTTGGTTCTGTTGTTTGGGGACATGTCCAGATGTTTCTGTCATCCTGTTTCTTTAAGACCCCTGGGTGYAGGCACTGTCCCCCACAGTTCCCAGGTTCCATGGCACCCACATGATCCTGGCTTCCTGACCCTCCCAGCCCCTTGCCTGCTTTTTCTGCACATGCTGGTGTTTGTCTGTGCAGAGCTAGGGCCATTTGCTGTGAACCTCAAGGGTCTACACCCCAGTTCTCTCTAGAGCCTATCTTTGCCCACACTGGAGTCATTTCTGAGCCATAGTGAGGACAGCTGCCCTTTTGAGCATTTGCGGAGTCAGGCCAGGCCTGAAGCATTTCACACACATCAATTCATTGAGCTTTTACAACCACCCAGTGAAATACGAACCCTTCTAAAAATGTGCGTTTTCTACAGTTGGAAGCGGGGACTTCTGGCATGGTAGCTGTGTTAGGCCCCCCAGCACTGTCTCCCAGGCCTTGTCTCTTGGGAAAGATGAGGGTTTACCAGGACTCTTCTTCAGGCAGGCCCTGCCCCTGGTGAAGATGCAGAGTTCCTAGGAGATGCAGGGTGCTGTGCCCATGGGAGYAGAGAATAGAGGCCATTGACAAGGGTAGGAGGGAACAGTGGCCCTCGCTGAGACATGCTTGCTGAGGAACTGGGGGGCACACTCAGGCCACAGTTCTGCTGAGTTCCTCCCTTTGCCTTAGCATACCTTCGTGTGTTAACACAGCTGCAGCTGTGTTAGCACGGAGCTGGCCTAAAGTGACCATTAACAGATGCTAGCCCTAACCTCTATGGAGTAGGGCTCAGCTCTGGGTGGGTCAACTCCTTGTTCCTCCCTGACACTGCCTTGTTCCCACAGGCTCATAATGACCTCCTGCGCACATACGAGGCAAAGCTGCTGGCTTTTGGAATCCCTCTGGACAATGTGGGCTTCAAGCCTCTGGAGACAGCGGTGATTGGGCAGACGCTGGGTCAGGGCCCTGCAGGACTTGTGGGTACCCCAACCTAGCTACATGCTTGGGGCTGCAGCCCACAGAACTGATTAGGGACACTCCCTAGGTGACCCCCTCTTTCCAGGCAGTAAGTTTTTAAATTTTAGATTATCATCAGTGAATGAAAATTTTTCCACATTTCCTTTGTGTTCTCTTGCTGGGCTCCGTAGGGGAGAACCACCTGCAGGAGAATCTCCTTCCCTGGGGCACGTCCAGCTTGTGCCACACCACACCCGAGTCCTCCAACTTCAGCAGCACTTTCTCTGACAGCCCCCTTGTTCACCTGGGGGCCAAGGTGGCAGAGATCTGGCCACCCATAGATTGCTCCTGTCCCAAAGATGGGAGCAGTTCTGCAGATGCAGTGCTGTCATTAGAGACCTGAGTGAGTCACAGCTGCCCACTGGAAGTAGCTCTGCAGATGTAGCACTGATTTTATTGACCCAAGTCACAGCTGCCCACGGAGAAACTCCAGAGCGGGGCCAGAACCTCCCCAAGGAAGTGGGTGACCACTGAGTGTGGCTGGGCAGGCAGCCCAGCCAGAGCAAGGATAGGTAAATAGCTCCTCCAGCCAGGCTGTGCTCTAGCTCCCTCTGTAGGTGGTGTAGGACCACGGGCTCAGCAGCAGAGGCACATGGAACTTCTGGGTCTCCTTTGTGATGGTGAAGACAACCTGAGAGAAGCAGAGAAAGCACCAGAAGACAGTGAGGGACCACAACCCAGGAGCYACCTGACCCCATGACTCCCTGGGAAAGCAGCAAAAATGGTGGGGCAGGGTCAGCTGGAGCCCAGTGGTGGACTGCAACCTCCCTGAGGGCTGAGGGTGGGCAGAAATCCTCCTCTGGGCATGCTGGATGTGGAAAAGGCCAGATGATAGGAGAGAGGGGAGAGCAGTCAGAGAAGGCCCAGGAGTTGGAGTGGGGCAGATGAAAACCTGTCTATGAAGRGGAGATGAGTCACCCCCAGCCTGCCTCCCCCAAGCCTGACTGGGACAGCTCATGGATGGGCATGTCAACACGGAGTCTCATGACGCCCGAGGTCCCAGGGTCCCCTTTCTTGTGGGAGCTCAAAGCAGGCAAGCTCAGGTGCCTGCCACCTCCCTGAGAGAGGTGGGACCAGTCTGTCCTTGAGGCCTGGCCGAAGACCTGGCCTGCAGGTCAGTGAGTCAGGGTCTCCACCCTCTCCGTCCCCCATGGCACTCACCTCTRTGTATGGATAGAAGCTCTCCTGCCCCCTCTCCTTCCAGTAGCCCTGGGTTTCGAAGGACAGCTTATAGGTGCCAGGCTTCATCTGGYCTGGCCTCAGGAGCCCAGGGCAGCGGCCGTCCAGGTCTGTGTAGCTGGGGAGAGGATGGGCTGCTGAGATGAGATGCAGAGCCAGCTTCCCTCAGCCCTCCTGGGTCTGACCCCCGTGGGGTAGTGGGGCAATTGTAGGGACACTGCTACTGCCTATTTAGAAAATCAACACAGAAGCAAAAAGGGAAAAATTCTTCCATAGTCTACCACTTTGTATTTGACATATTTTTCTAGATTTTTTTCTATGTTTATATGTTTGTTTACAAGTTTTTTTTTTTAAATGCACCATAGATTATGATTCATGATGTTTTCTGTGTTTTTAATATAATTTACTGATCATGGCTTTCTGGGTCAATAACAATCCATCTATGTGGTGGCCTGTTTCCAACWGGATGGAAGGTCCATGTTGAGTGGGCTGATCCCTCATGGAGTGTTTTGAAGGCCTGCAGTTTTGCCTTATCACCTCTAATGCCCCCACATTCTTCATACCAGCTGGACCTAAAGAGTGTCCCACAGCATTTAGGAAGGGAACTGCATGTMTGGCGTGCATGGTTCCCTCTAACCCTGCAGTGGCTCCTGGCCGGAGCAGCACTGTGCTCACTCACAGTGGGCCTGGGTCCCTCACGCCTCAGCTTCTGTGGGGAGCTTAGCAGGGAAGCAACAACCGCACCTTAGACCCTGAACCTTTGGGTCTACCTTCCTGGGCTCCCCACTCCTGCCACAAGACATGCCTGCCTTCCTCAAGAYGGAGGGTCATGGGGATGAACCTGCTCACAAGGCCAGCTCCAGGGCCACAACTCTGCCAAACTGGGTTTGCAGCACCTGAGACTGGAAGCCCCSATGCCCCCACCCAGCAGAGTGTGTGTGTAGTCCAGGCTGAGGATCACAGGCCTAGCTTGGAAGCCTTTTACCTCATCCTGCCTCCGTCTTCCCATCTGTAAAAGGGTATTAGGGTTCCTGTCCAGAGGAGGTATGGAGAATAAAAAGAGCAGAGATTAAGTGCTATGCCACCTCAGGCCACGGACTTGGTGGAGAGACCTACTGCTCCCACCCCAGCAGGCCTCAGCAAACTTGAGTCCCAGGACACTCACACCTGCTAGGATGGCCCTGTTCCCACGTGAGGAACTGAGGCTCAGAGTCAGTAGGGAGGGTCCAGGCTGGGAACCTGTGTGCCTCCAAGGCTGAGGGGCTGGTGGGTGCCRGTGGGCAGCAGTCAGCTCTGTCTTCCAGCCCCTAGTGTCTGCACTCCTTGGCTGGGTGGGACTCAGCAAGGGCTGGTGCTGGGGGAGCAGGAGCTCTGGATTTCCACCCAGCCCCAGGGCCTGTCTCGTACCTTTTCTTCAGTTCTGTCCACTGCTGGCTGAGGTCCTCAAGCCGAGACAAGTGGAGGCGCAGGCCGCGGGCTGGGAGCCCAGACGCAGTATCTAGCACGTGTGTGGTCAGGGGGCTGCTCTCAGGCTCCATGCCAGTGCCTTGGATCACAGGAGGGGCAGGGTGAGCTCCTGAGGGCCTGTGCACTGGGTCCCCAGCCCTGCATCTGCACTTCTGAGAGGAGGGTGAACAGTGCAAGGGTCACTGGAATTGCTGAATCGCAGGACCATTTGCCAGGTGGCAAACAAACTAACCTGTGTCCTTGTGGATCCCCACTGTCTCCTTCCCCCAGCCATAGTTCCAGCTCACAGATGGCCTTGTTCTCTGGGAACCCAGCTTCACTTTTGCGTCCGTGGTTCGCAGGTCCCTTGGAGTTTAGCCCCCCAGGCAGATGAGGGAACAAATCCTGAGGGTAMAGGCCTGCCCCTTACCTCAGGCGAGTCCAGGTGTATAGCTGGAGGGCAGCAGCTGCGAAGCTGTGCTGGGCAGCTCGCTATCTCTGGACTGTGGGATGCCCATTCGGCCCTAGTGGGAGGTGGCCACCACAGGCCCCTCCGGTTAGCCCAGCCTGTGTGGCCACCCCTGGGCGAGCCGCTCCTCGTCCTGCCGGCGTCTCCCTAGCTGGCGCGCTCCACCCGCACTGTCCCCAGGAGCTGCCCAGCCGCCTTCAGGGGCTCAGGGCTTCCTGGGGGCGGTGGAACGCCTCCCACCTCCGGGGCAGGGACTCGGGGGCTGGGGCTGCGGGCGCGGGGCGGGGCTTGGGGGCGGGGCGGGGCGGTGGGTGCTGGAGCGGGGTGGAGTGGGGCGGTGTGCGCTGATCCCGTGTCCCCAGGACGTCCAGACTCAGGCACAGTTGTGATGGAATCCCTCTGCCAGCCCCGTGAGGTGTCTGACAGGCCACCTGACCTTGCCTCAGTTTCCTCATCTGTAAAAGGGGAGCAGTAGGACTCGGGAGGTGATGGAGAGGGTGCCCTCGGACAAGGAGAAGCTCCTTAGCACCCCTGCTCCCTCACCTTCCGGTGCAAAGGACAGCTGTGTGTGCAGCCAGGAGCGCTGTGAGGCTGTATTTCCTAGCGTCACGCTTATATAACATAGGGATCGTGMACATAGCATACACCACGTAAAAAGAAAGGGCATTCTGTTTTTAAAATCTGTATGTTCTATATTAAAACCACCATGCCGGCTGCTGGTTGTCTTGCTCTGGCAGAGGGCAACTTTTTTTTCTCTTTGCCAAGTTGCGATTCTAATTATGCAACCGTGATCCTGGTTGTTTGTAGGTGAGGAAACCGGGCCCTTCAGGGTGAGGCTGGGGGTGTTGGGTGGAAATCCTCTGGAGGTGAGGAGGAAAGTTTATTCAAGGTCTAAAGGCACCCTCTCGGGCCACCTTTAGCTCATGCCTGTTGTGGCAAGTGCTGGTGGGTTCCAGAGACAGAAGCAACCCTCCTGGCCCCACGGGGACCAATTGCATAAGAAGTCTCTCAGGCACCAGCATGCTCTGCAGCGTTTTGGAGGAATTAGGCCGGTTTGTAAAGCAGGCACCATCTCCTGGAAGCAGGTAGTGACAAGTCTGTCAAGTGGGAGGGAAGGCTGTAAGTTACATCCTCCCTGTTTGCAAAGATCCGCTCACCTGGCCCTCAAGCGCCTCATAATGTGTCATTATCCCCGCTGTCCGAAGGAAGAACAGGCACAGAGAGGCCATTATCAGAATATCGCCTCACATTGGCACTTGTCAATGGTGGATGCCTCTTGAGACCAGTGTTTGTGGCCAGGGGAATTGTTTTATCTCCTTAGTCTTTTGTGCTCTTGGGATTTTAAAAATATGGGCTTGTTTCACTTTTTCGAAAGTCTCAAATGTTATATGTTAAAAACAAGTAAACCTTTTTTTCTGGTGGGTGCTCTTTAACTGAAACTGTACCCTGGAGTGTACCTTGCTGGAGGGTCTGCAGAATCAATAGGCAGCCAGCACAGGGCTTGGCCAACACTCCTTTTGGAGTTCAGCATCTGGAAGTCCATCACACTGCTCACCTGGAGTCCAGCTCACCCCTGGCAGTCCTCAGGCCTGGAAGAAGAGGAGGGCACTGCAAGGAAAGGATCATATTCCAGTTTGGGTTTTTGAAAACCCAGCTTCTACCTCAAGGCCTGTCCAAAGGGAGGGGGCATGATCCTTGTCCTTGGAAAAACCCACAGAGCACTCCCAGGTACATAGCCACCCTGCTGAGTTGTTTGTCTATAAATAACAGGAGAGATCTGCCATGCCAGGTGTCCCTGACACCCCCTAGCAACCACCAATTAGCATGAGACAGGAAAAATACCTGGGATGCCAGATGACCCCTCCAGTAGTCTTGGTGGTTGATAACATGTTAGGAAACCATATAGTTAGCATGTACACCCATCACAGATTAAACCAATCAGTTCAAATGAATCCCTCTTTTGTACTAACCAATCACCCCTACCCAACTTGTTCCCGCCAGTGAATGTGCTAATCAATGTTAAGAGTTGTTGTTTGATTTTCCCGCAGTGTGAAATGATTTGCTGTGTGATGTTGTGACACATAGGGTATCTCCAAAAACCTATAAAATCTCGCTGAACAAAGACAGGACTCACTCCTCAGGACTGCTGTGTCAGAAATGGTTGTGAGTCCAGGCTCGCGCTTGCAATAAAGACTCTTGTGTGATTGCATTGGATTTGGCTCCTGGAGGTCTATTGGGGTCCCACGAATCTGGCATTTCAGCTAAGGAAACTCAGGGTCCCTTTGCCCTGGACAATGGGCAAGGGCTCCGTGCTGTTTCTGTCACCATGGTAACCACCTGCCACCCGTCTGGAGGAGCAGGCTTCCTGGTCCCCTCTTCCGCATTTTCATGGGCTTCCCATTGGTTCTTCCACTGTCACTCAGGACTTCTGCTCCCGCCTTCCAGCCACTAGCCTGTACTTCCTGTTTCAGACCTGCTACCGGCAGCTACCCAGAGCCTGCATTTTAAAAAATGCCCACCTGTAAATGCTAACGAAAGATATCTTTTTCAGGCAAAATCTATTCCAAAGGTTTCTACGTTGCAGCCCTAATTTTAAGTTATTTTCGAGTTAAATAACCTGACTTTTCTCTATGGTTGTGTTACTAAATAATGTTCTATTGATGAGAGATATCAAACATGCTTCTTTATATTTTGCTTTTAATTTTGGAGGTTATGGGGATGCATTTACTCTCCGCAGGAACAAAAGCTGGCAATGATCCTGTGATGACCAAAAAATCCTTATTCTCATTCCTGACTATATAATTACAAAAAATAAATAAATGTATACACAAAGATCTTATTTCATCTACATTACATGATATCACATATAAGAGTGCACTTCTAGTTAAAATTGAAATGGATCCAAATATCTAAGAACCACTTGGTTACATGAAGTTAATACAATGATAAGTTATGCCCTTATTCTTAATATGTATTTTCTAGATAACCTATAGTTATTCATCTAACATGTCTGATTGTTTAATTAATGTATATTTATCTAATTGTTTTTCTTCAATAGAAAACCCATAATTTGTACATTTTATACATGCATTTATCTGATGCTCTGCCTTTTAGTTACAGATATTTGAGATAAATGTATTTTACTATAAATTTGCTTTCAAGAGAGAATACAACTTTCAAGTAATTTCTAATTGCCAAAGTTATTGCACAAACTTTTAAAAAATATTTATTTTTAGTTGTAGTTGGACACAATATCTTTATTTTATTTTTATGTAGTGCTGAGGATCAAACCCAGAGCCTCGTACATGCCAGGCAAGCGCTCTACCGCTGAGCCACAATCCCAGCCCTTGCACAAACTTTTGTAAGATGATAAAACAAGTATAATTCTGTCTACAATAATATCCAAGGACTTTAACTATATTTTCATTGATATTTCTTCTTATCAAAGTACACAAATTTATTTTGATTCTAAGGTTTTCAAAAATTATTCCACAATATAAATAGGAAAAATTCTAAAAGAAAAAGACAATGCTTCAACAAAGAGGAAGCACACATTGGCGGTCCTAAGAAAAAGAAAAAATAATAATAATAATCTTTGGGTAAAAAGAAAAAAAATCATCTTTGGGTTAAACAAGGTCTTTATATTCTAGATTTTAATGATAAAAGTATTTTCCTAAATAAAAAAGATCTTTATGTCATTATCTAGATGATGATTTAGAAAAAAATAAAACAATTAAGAAAAAGATTTATATGTACTGGACTGATTGTAAGGATATTTCAGGCCATTTCCCTGATTTTACTATGCTGATATGAGCTAATATTTGCCCATATTTTGACATGACAAAGACCTATTAAAACATTAAGTTTGTTTCCTGTAAGGAAGGTCTTTATTGCCTAATGATTCTTACTGTTTAAGGCAAGGATTAATTTTGATGAATAAATACACATCCTTAATTAAACACTAAATACATTAAACTGCTGACTTAGATCCCAATTTTGACAATTCTCTTTGAAGTCTAAATTTGATTGATTCAAAGACACTGTTGATTCTTACATATTTTGTTTGTTGGATAATCATGAGATTTGGAAGGACATTTTATTAGAACTGAGGTTCTCCAAATTAAAGTTGTGTGTTAGTTTTGAGCAATAAAGGTTGCAAACCTTGTTAAAATTTTATTGATATATATATAAGTTCCCTGACTGGACCTATTATCCACAAAAAATATGGTAATATTTATATATTACTCTCTATACTGAGAAGTAACCTTAATCATTATTTTCTAAAAGATGATTAAGAGACACCTATTTAAAGGATACTGTTGAGAGCCACAGCCAAAGGGGCCCCAGCAAACTTCCAGCTGCCAGCAAACTTCCAGCTGCTGGCTGATGATTGGCTCACAGTGGCCCCAGCAACATCTAGCTGATTGGCACCTCTGGCTGCTCATTGGGCTGTTTCCCTGCCCTTTCAGACCATGGAGCTGCTCATTGGGGGACTTCTTTGGCTCCGCCCACATGACCCAGCCAATCAGCCTCAAGAGCAGGAGGATTGTGGGAGGTGTGGAGTTTGGTGTGGGTGAGAGGCTTGTGGAAGCCGGTGGTGGCAGTTGGGCTCTGAGGGTTTTTTTTTCCTGAGGAGCTGTTTTGCTTGGCGTTTGTAGTTCTAAAAATAAAGTTAGTTTCTTTTGACAAGTGGCTCCTGAATTGTGCCCAGCCAGACTGTGGCATTTGGTGGCCCGTACGGGGAATGAACCCGAGACCTTGGCGTTATCAGCACCAAGAATTTTATCATATTCTAAAATATAGAGATATTTTGAGACCTTCTCTCAAAGAGAGATTGAGGGTTCTTTCTAAATTGTTAGGATGACTCAACTAGTCTATATTAAAAATTTACAATAATCAATAAAAGATAAATCTATTTTTATCATTTAAATACTTGTACCATTATCTATAACTTAAAATGATGATACTATGGCTGACACCAACCTTTACTCAATTTTATTAAATAAAGAAAAGGGGGGAAATAGGACCCCAGAGACACCCATTAGATCTTATAAAATATTTTAAATTTTTTTCTTTTCTTAAATTATAATGTTGAGAGTCTTAATGTTACTGAACATGATTCATTAAATTAAATCAGATTTCAAAGGAGAGTTTAAGACAGTCATCATGAAGATGACTGAGAAACCTGGCATAGGAAGGTAAATTTCCAGCTACAGAGTTTATAGCCATGTAGCTTCATGGGCTTATCAGGTAAGTAAAAATTATAAAGAGACTTCTATTGACCCATTTCTCAGGTTAATTTTTA